GGATGAAATGTGTGTTCTAGTAGTCTGTTTATTACTTTTATTCTACAATGATTTTTTAAAAATAAATTTTTCTTAAGAAAATTTGAAAAATAAATTTAATTTTTTTAACACAAAATATGTTTTTTTTAAATAAAAAAATTTAGTCACGGATCTAAGCCGTGACTAAATTCTAGACCGGTTTTTTTAAAATTATTTTAAAAATTTAAAAATGTTTTTTTTTTAAAAAAAGTAGTCACGGATCTCGTCCGTGACTAAATTTAAAATTTTGAAAATTTAAACTGGCGGTCACATTTGAAATTTGAAAAAGTAGTCACGGATTGGTCCGTGACTAAGAGGCCGTGACTAAGTCGCCGGTGTGGTTATTCCGGTCACAAATTAGTCACGGATAAGGTCCGTGACTACGCTTAGTCACGGAAAAATGGCTGTGACTAGATTTAGTCACGCCCAAACAGTCACGGATTTAGTCACGGAAAAAGTCCGTGACTAGCAGAGTTAGTCACAGATTTTTTATACTAGAGTCCGTGACTAAATCCGTGACTAACTCCGTGTTTGTTGTAGCGTATGTAACGTATTGAGTAGTTCCACATATTTAACTCCACATAAATATGTACTCGAGGTAATATTTAACTCCACATACATATGGTGCTCACTTTTTTTCGTTCCAAATTATTCTTTAATGTAAAAAAAATCTCCCAAACTTTTTCTAAATAAACTATTGCTAGTCCAGATTATTTTTATGAACACCATCATTAAGAATTGTTAGTGTATAATTTATGAAACCAGAATTATTGAGTTTCATCGTACAAAACTATAGGGAGTAGTATATTGCACTTAGCAGTGGCGGATCCAGGACTCAAAGCTATTGGGGGCAGAGTAGGGATGGACCGGGTCCGGTTTGCCCGACCCAAGACCGATCCGAGACCAGTAGTGTTACGACTGGCCCGGGACCGGTTTTCCGATACCAACGTAGAAACGGGACAGACTCGGGCTTGATTTTTTGGGACGGGACCGGCCGGTCCCGGGCTCAGTTCCGGTCCCTATGGATATATTTTTTATTTTTTAATTAGAGAGTGGGTACTGACTTGGGACCGTACTGTTTGGACCCAGACCGGAACCAAACCGGATCGGTACCAGGCATCAATTATTTAGAACCTGGACCGGCCGGACCTGGGCCCAGGACCGACCCGGCTCCATGCCTAGGGAAGAGTAAGGTGACATATACATAAAGGCAGTACAAAACAAAAAGACAATAAAATATATCCAAATCGATGAGGGTTTTTTACTAAAGTAAAACTTATTTACACAAATATCAAATATGATTATTAGTTACTACAATGTAGTGTCATAATAACTCAAGTTTAAAATTCAAACATAAATTACTATGATTTCATTACTACTCAACTCACTAATCAAATTTTTGTAAACAATCTTCAATTCATTTTAGTCATAAATATGTAATTATTTCAATCGAAAATACTCGTAATAAAGTACACATGGATTTTAAAATTTTACCACTAATTCTTAATACAATACACCCCCTATCATTTTTTATAAATTCGAATAAATTTTACACATCAGGTTTAAACAACAAACAAATTACGTAAATACACATTATACAATAGTGAAATAGTTAATTAATACGGAGTACTTAATGGGTTTTGAGAGAAACCTACACTCGTTCTTCACTTTTCTTCAAACCAGGCTCTAGCGAGAGAACTACTCCAGCTTGTGGTCAGCTGAATTGCTCTAATTTTAGGGATCTATAGCCTTCACGATTAAAAAAATTCTGAAAAGTTTTTTAGTTCCGAAATTGGGCATGGGGCTATTTGAGCTTATTGGACTACGGATTAGGAGGCATTTATGTTTTTAATTGGGGGCATTTATTTATTTTTATTGGGGCATTTATATGGGATGAGATTTTTCTTAATGAATTATAAGAAGCTAGTGGTTGTTTTTTAGGGGCAGCTGCCCCCCTCATATGGCTGTACTCCTATTTGAAAAAATCTGTCATGTTTAAACCTTGATAATATCAAACTTGACAAAAATTACTTATATTTAAAGAATATAAATATGAAGATATGATCTTATTTTAGAATTTCATTTTTTAGACGAAATTTCAGAACTACTTTTATTCCTATCATTTAGAGAATTTCGGAATTTCCCATATACTCCCTCCGTCCCGCTATGATTGTCCCGTTTTACTTTTTCGGTCTGTTTCACTAAGATTGTCTCATACCTTATTTGATAATGTTTGTATGGTTCTAAATCATTTTTACTTTATTCTTATTTTATCAATTCAATACCAACCACATAAATTTACTTTTATTAATAATGATATCGCCTTTTTTTTTCAAACCTTAGGATTAGAGGTAGTACTCCCAACTTCCGAAGTCCAAAAGCATGGACTGTCCACTGTCCAGTGGGCAGAGATTCCTTGTTGGCCTATTACTCGTGACCCCGCAGCTTTTTGTTGGTACTCTGCCACTCCAAACAGCTCTAAACTCAAAAAAGTCATTTGCGCGCCTGCTTTCGTAGTCTCGCGTGCGGTTCTCGTTTATCACTTTATCTCTTCTTTTATTAATTACTGTATAAAAAATCATTTGCATTGCTCAATTCTTAAAATTTACGGGAAAAAATTGCAAAAAAAAAAAAAATTAAACTTACGGAAAACGAAATGCTAGTAATAAATTGTAGAGGATGAATTAACCTACACCGTAAAATGTAAGTACACATATTACCGAGTAAATGCTAAAGTAAGATAAATAAAGTAAACCTTTACGGGATTAAAAGGTAGAATTATATGATTGATATAAGTTGATAAAGTGAGAGTAAGTAAGAATGAATTAGTAGGAGAACATCCAAAAATGAACAATGGGACAATTATGTGGGAATAGAAAGAATAGTTGTCACTTATCCTCCATTATTTATTTTTGGAGGAATAATAAAGTCTCTTTCATAACTCTGATTTTCGACTTATCAACTACTACCTCCGTCCCACTAAGATTGAGACAAGAGAAAGTGACACGATTATTAAGAAAAGTGGGTTTGTGTGATTGATATTGAATTGATAAAGTAAGAATAAAGTAAGAATGATTTAGAGCTACACAAACTTTACCAAATTTGCTATGGGACAATCTTAGTGGGACTTCCCGAAAAGGTAAAATGAGACAATCTTAGCGGGACGGAGGGAGTATCTTTTTCTTCAAATACGAAAAATTCAATTTTTTAATTTCCGAAAAAAAGTACAAACGTGAAATAATTACATATTTATGACTAAAATAAAGATCATTAAAAAAATTGCGACTAGTGACTAAAGTAGTAATAAAATCATAGTAACTTTGATAACACTATGGGCGAAATCAAAGGACTAAATGCGAGTTATGCGACTATTGACATGTTCGATTTTTAAACTTAAGTTACCATGACACTATGAGTCTGCTTCATAACATCAAAATTGGTTGAATTTGCTAATTCTGCAGACTTTTATGAAGTTTTGGTTGAAGTAGCCGGAATGACTGATTCTGCTTATTTATTAAATATTTATTTTTAAGATACTTTTTAATAATAAAATAAAGAAAAAATTATATAAAAAAAAATAGTTAAAATGATAATATACGGTACTTCAGCCAATGCAGCCACAACACTAACAAAAATTAGGCCTGGGACCGGTTCGGTCCTAGGCAAAATATGTGGAACCGTTTGAAAATATGAAATTTTACTAACGGTTCGGTTCTTATAAATTATTTTATAGAACCGATAAGGAACCAAACCGTTCTTAACGGTTCGGTTCTTGTCATTTAACGGTTCCTAGTCTTTGAAAAAAATCTTACAAATCACGACTAAATTTTTGTCAAAAAGACATTCAACATTTGAAATTACAAAACAAATATGTTAAACCAGTTAAAGAGAATAATAGTTTTAAATAGTTTGGACCTTCCGAGTTCCGACCCGCTCGAGTTTGGACCTAATGAGAGGCCTAAGAAGCCTAAGAGAACCAGTTGAAGTGAATAATAGTTTTAAATAGTTGAATAACTAAACTAAAATAAGGAATGGAATATAAAAATAAATAAGTAAATATACATAAAATATATATACTCGTAAGAAATATATATAATTTTAATTATTATATAGAACGGTTCCTTAACGGTTCCTAGTACATATTTTCTCCAGAAACCGAGAACCGAACCGTTAATAAAAAATAGGAACCGAACCGTTAACAAATACTTCCTCCGTTCTTAAATAAATGCAACGGTCAACATTTCACACTTGCCGAGACACACTTTTGACCATTAATATAAATGATTTTATATTAGTAAAAAATATTAAAAAAATTAGATTATGAAAATTTACAATGAGACAAGTTTAACAATATTTTTTTCATAAAATTATATTATTACATTAATAAATAAAACGTAGTCAAAGTAGAACATGTGAATAGTGTAAAAGTCAAAGTGTTGCATTTATTTAAGAACGGAGGTAGTAACTAATAAATGTTGGAACCGAACCGAACCGGGTCATAACGGTTCAGTCCAATTCGGTTCTCCGGTTCTTGGTTCCAAAGTCCCAGCCCTAACAAAAATTAAGTGTTTAGTAAAAAGATGGTTGATAAACTTGATAAAAAAGTTAGGTGTTTGGTAAAAAGTAAAGTTGAAATTATTTTTCTGGTTATATTGGCTGAAATTACCATAAAATATGTAATACTACCTCCGTCCCAGGGACAAGTTCCCACTTTCTTTTTTTGGCAGTCCCAACAAAAAGTTCTCATTTCCCTAAATGGAAAGTTATCCTACATCAAAACAATGCTAAACAATGCAAAACAGTACAAACAGTGTCGAAATAATGTCAAACAGTGTCAAAATAGTGTCAAACAGTAAAATTTACCTCTCAGTAACTTTATTTCCTGAATGTGTGTGAAAGTCAACCCGGGAACTTCTCCCTCGGGCGGAGGGAGTATATTTTAAAAATAAATTTTTCTTAAATCAGTAGAATCATTCTATATAGTCAGAACTTCATAAATTTCAGCAAAATGAAATAGGATTACCAAACACATGCTATATGGGGTTAATTTTTACTACGTATTTTTTATTATCAATCCAGCACACATATGCTCGACAAAGTCATTACACCATAAAAGACACTTAACCCGCTACTAAACTGAAATTAAAGATTCAGGGAACGATGGACCGGCCAGATAAATCACAGTCAGGTACCGACCGGCCGGCTAGATTATGAAAAGACATAATAAGCTACAACCTTTCCCATTATTCGATCAACTGCTTCCTAAAGCTCAATTACTGGTGGCAGAAAATGACTTTCAGCTCACGCGGCGCCGAACACGCGTGCGTCAGCGACGGCACGTCGTGCGCGTACGTGTACGTCGCCGGGCAAGCCTTCTTGAAGAACTCCGAGTGGCTCGACGGCCGGCACGTCTGCGGGCTGTTGAAATGGTTCCTGCAGCAGAGCTCGTCCGTCTTGAACGCTTCGCACCCACTCTTGCAGGCCACCACCGGCCCGTGACCGCCCTGGGACCGGAAGTGAAGCTCCGGCGGGCAAGACTCGACGAGATTCGCCCGGCAGCCGACCACCGGACAGTTGCCTTTCCCTTCGTGGGGGGTGACCGTCAGGGGGAGGTTGAAGCCGTCGACGAGGCTGACAGAGTAGGAGGAGAAGTCACTGTTTCCGTGGTGGAGATCCAGCTGGACGAGAGTCGCCGGAAGGGCGCCGCCGGCGCCGTTGCACTCCAACCGGCCGCCGCAGTCCCCGGTGTCGCATGAGAAGTGGCCGCCGGCGTCTGAGCAGCCGGTTCGAGCCCAGATTCGGCCGGCCCAGTGGGTGTCAGGTGCGTTGAAGGAGCGGTGAGTGAAGGTGGGGAGAGCGAAGCCGCCGCTCTCGAGAACTGGGTAGCCGCCGTTCGGCAGGATTGCCGGCCAGACGGTGTAGGGGCAGTTGTTGACGACAGTGAGAAAGAGGGCAGTGGTGGTGGTTATAGAGAAGGAACAGAGGGTTAGAAGGAGAGAGAGTGAGAGTATGGTGGTCGGAGCTGCCATTTCCGGCGGAGAAGAGTAATCGTTTAATTTGCTTAACTAGGTAGGTTCTCTAGAATATTGTATCGGCGGTAATGATTTTATAGGAGAACGGGATTGAATTTGAAGGACCAAAACGGCAAAACCTAATCGGGAAGTATAGTGAGGGTAGTTCGCCCTGTACGCAAAACGTAGTTAGGGGTGTTTGGATATGATTCTCAAAACTAATTCTGCTTTTTCAGGGAGCAGAAGCAGAAGCAGAAGCGGGAGTGTTTGGGTGAAATTTCAGAAGCACTTCTGGAGCTCTGATTTACTCTCAGAATCAGTTTTTTTAGAAGCTGGGAGGTACCAGCTTCTGAAAACTAATTCTGATTCTACTTCTGCTTTTAAAAAAGAAGCAGAAGCAGAATTAGTTCCAAACACCCCCTTAGCTTTTTTCCGTTTTAAACACGTACCGTTTTTTTTTTGACAAAAAAAACACGTTTAAAAAGGGGGGAAATGTTGGTCCGTTTAAAAAGGAAAAAAACTCATACTTCCCGTATAAAACGTATTTTTCCCGTATTTTAAAAAAAACGTAAAAATGAATTGACCAATTGAATGAATGCACTAAATGCATAGAAGATCAACAATAGTGTAAAAGTAAAAATGAAAACGTCCTCTCCATGATCTCGTGTTTTTGTATTGTTACAGTGCAATTATTAAATACTAAAATTAATTGCATGATGGCTAAAGCTAGCATCCTGAAATACTAAAACTTACGTAGTAATATACTCCAAGATTTGTGATGTTTTTTCAAGCTAGCATATCAAAACTAAGATTTTTCTAAACCTACCGTTTTTTAGCATAAACGTTTACACAAACAATAATAAGTGTAGCAATCACACAACTTTTGTCATATGTCATCTGTCATCTTAATGAAAATGATGAGTTTAACTTGAGTGTTATTTGATAATCATATAAAGATAATGATTTTTTGACATTATTTTTCAAAATTATGTCTTGGACTTAATTACTGTTTTTATTTTTGTCACCGACTTATGCAATTACGAACTATTCTTGTATGTAGTAATGAGATTTGCTACTTGAATATGTGTATACTTTTATTTCTTTTTTACTATATATGTTATTTTATGAAATATATCATTTAAATGTTCAAAATAATACCCGTATTTTTCGTCCGAATTTTTGTAATAGACAACGTATTATACACGTATACGTATTTACACGTTTTTTAAAAGTCAACGTTTTTCTCAACGAATTTTTGACTGTTTTTTCATTCATGTTACCGAATAAAACGCGTACGTATTAAACCTCGTTTAATTCCCGTACCGTATTTAACTAACTAGGCTTCCTAGTCCCTAGTTTCCTACAAGTTTAATTCGGTACAATTTTTACTTGGGGGTATTATATCTGCATCACAACATTGTCTCTACTCTTTTTTTATCGTATAAAAGATGACTTAAATTCAAATCACAACATTCAGATAAAAGGTAAAATAATAAAAGGATCGCAAGCAACCGTCAGCCCTCGAACCAGATTGAGAGTTAATCATCTCCAAAAAACGATATAACTCGTTGATCCTATAATGAGCATAAATGAGCCAACGACGATTAAAGCAGGCCTCCCATCACTCAATCCTAATGCAAGAATCTTACAACAATAAAAGTAATCAACATAAAAATAAATAGATTGATCATGAAAAAAAACAGCAAGCAAACAGTAAAATTAATATACTGCTTCCAAACCCTAAACTCTCCTGCACTCCATGGCGGCGGTTCAGGAGGGGGACGGTCCAATTGTATTATAGCATCTTTCGCCCCTTGCCTCCGGTCCAGATCTGTTCTAGCCCTTAGCCCCACGCTTCATCCATGACCTTCTGATCTCAACCATGGACATACTCGAAACTCTCCACCTGCTTATAGGCGTTGCGGTCTGCCAAAGAAGAGAGTCTCACGAAAGACGGACGAAAGCTGCACAAGAAAGCCGCACTTCGTCGAACACGAAAGCGGAGAAAAACAACCTCTAACCCTAGGGGAGATAGCTGTCTAGAGAGAGAGGTTCTCGTTTAGAGAGAGAATAAAGGAGGGATTGAAAGTGCACTTAATTGTCTCTACTTTTTTAGAAAGTAGAACAGAAATTGCTCTAAATAGGAGTAAAAATGTTTTGAAATTTTAAAATAAGATTTTTATGTCTTTATTTTCTAAATAGGAGTAATTTTTGTCAATTTGAAAAAAAAACTTGACATAAACTACAATGTTCAAAACCTGCTAATGTCAAACTTGACATAAATTACTTCTATTTACGAAATAAAAATATGGCAATCCTATTTTGAAATTTCAAAATATTTTAATTCATATATAGAGAATTTTTCACATAAATAGAAACATATAATGGAGTGTTTGAATGAATGTATAGAAGTGCTTCTACATAGGTGCTCCAAACTGCACTTAGAAAGCACTTTTGTAGAAGGTGGGTGAGATAAAAACTAATTATGATTCTATTTTTGCTTTAAAAAAAGAAGCAAAAACATAACCAATTCCAAACACTCTTAATAGGTTGTCTACATAAGTAAAATAGAAGAGTTTTTTTCAAAACTATTGCATAGTACGTAGTTAATTGAAAATTATTTGTAAAATATGGTTAAAAATTACTATGATATAGTCTTATAATGTGATTAATAATTACTGTAGTCATTATCCTTATGAGGTTACATCTTTGTAAATAATATTTGTTTTAGACATACTCCTCATGATGAGTATATATTAATATATAATGTTTCAAAATAGAAAACATGTTTCAAAATAGAAAACATGTATGCTGTAATAGTTTTTTTCGATAGAAATTAAAACATGTCTGGTAAGGTTTTTCATAGGGGTGAGATTGATCCGCTCTGGATTGGGTTTTTTCTCACCTCGTAAATTGTCCGTGAAATCTCGGGTTATGAAAATTAGGGATCAGAACAACGCTCATTGTATTCATTTACAAATATTCGGGTTTTTTTGTAGCCCAGCTTTGATAGGGCCAGTTAAAGTCATGATGAGAAATCATCACTTTATCCTTTTATATTTTAAAACTTATTTTAATACATTTACAACAAAATAAAAATTATAAATAATAACAAATATATTAGTCTCCAAAACCACCAACAACCCAAATTCAAACAATACTACGTATATTTTTTTTAATTTTGCGTTTAAGATATATACAAATAAATAACAGAGGCTTTTCAATAATAATACTAAATAAAATTAGTATATTATACGGAGTACTTCGTATTAGTTTTATATTAATGGTAATTGTGTCAGCTTTTGACCAGGACGGGCCGAATTATAGATTTTAGGACTGCTAATAAACTCAGTTTTTAGGATCCGATCCGGGTATTTTCATTCGGGGATTCCAAAAATAAATAAATACGTAGTAAAAGACATACCGGGCACATTCTTTATTTGATATAATCATATACTCCCTCCGTCCCGCTAAGATTGTCCTGTTTTACTTTTTGGGTCCGTCCCACTAGGATTGTCTCATACCAAATTTGGTAAAGTTTGTGTGACTCTAAATCATTGTTACTTTATTCTTACTTTATCAATTCAATAACAAGCACATCAATCACGTTTTATTAATTTGCGTGCCACTCCCTCTTGTCCCATTGTTAGTAGGACGGAGATAGTAACTTATAAGGTCGATTTCTGGGCTCCGGTTTGATTTTTCACACTCCTAAAGTGAGTAAAGTCTACTCTCCCTCCAAACTCTCAACGGACCCTTATTGTATGTGGCCCAAGAACACAAGTTTAATGTGTGAATGATTCATGACCCAAGATTGGCAAGTCGGCAACACCACGACCGACCTGATTATTGTCTTACTCGACCAGGGAGTCATATCATCACATATGGAATCGTGGACAATCAAAAATCTACATGACGCGGAATCCATTCCTATATACTACCTCCGTTCTCTTTTAGTTGCAACATTGGACTTTTTGCACTATTCACATATTCTACTTTGACTACATTTTATTAATTGATGTATTATAAATTAAATTTTTTAAAAATATTGTTAAATTCTTCTCATTCTAAATTTTCAAAATATGATTTTTTTAAATTTTTTTACTAATACGGAATGAAAGATATTAATGGTCAAACTTGTGCGTTGACAAACGTGAAAAGTTGACTGTTGCAATTAAAAAGGAACGGAGAAAGTACGAAGTAGTACCGGAGTGTTTGCAATAGCTTAAAAAAAGCACTTCTCAGCTTTTGGCTTAAAAAAGCACTTATTTACCAAACAATTCCAATTTTTACTTTTTCTCGGCTTGCGTGTGAAAAGTGCTTTTCCCTTTTCTATTACACAAAAAGCACTTATTTTACTAAACACTACCAACTTTTACTTTTCAAAATCACTTTTTTCTCAAACACTATCAACTTTTACTACTAATCACTTTTCATTACATCTCCAAAAGTGCTTTTTTTTAAGCAGAAGCAGTTGCAAACACTCCCTACGTCTTTAGTGTTTTTGACGGAATACAGAAGCAGTTTGGAAGCACTGTTTTTTTGGCTCATCAGACTTATCAACCAACTTTTTCACGAAACACGTAATTTTTCTTTCGCACGCTTAATTGCGTAATAAAATTACTTTTCTGGCTGTATTGGCTGAAGTTACTGTAGATGATCATTTTAGCTATTTTTACATATAATTTTTTCTTTATTTTATTAATAAAATATATTTTAAAATTTTCTTCTTCTTAAATCAGCATAATCAGCCAATGCAGCCACTTCAGCCTAAACTTCATAAATTTCAGCAAAATCAGCCAAATCAGTCGATTTTCGTACTACCAAACAGCAGGGCCGAACCTTTGTATGAGGCAAAGAGGCCATTGCCTCAGGCCCCACAAAATTGGAAATAAACTAGGGCCCACAAATTGCTAGCCACCATTATATATGTGTATACTACATGTATAAATACGGAGTATATGTCTTAAGAACTTCAAGCAGTGACCTGTGACCCATGTGTCTATATGCCAAATAGCAAGTCTTTTGTTAGCATTACTGATTTTTTTATTTAAGCCAAATAAGTGACCCATCTCACTTTTGTAAGTTATTTGTCAAAATTTCAAAGTAATTGATAAAATTTGAATATATAAAGTAAAATATCAAAATAACTTACAATGACGGGGAA